ACTCGAGTAACATGTAGTATTTGAGAATTAAATATTTCAAAAAATAAAATCAATGAAAATGAAAATTAGAGATAAAAATAGAATGATATTGATAATAATCAATGACAGAATATTCAGATAATATCATCTTCGTTTAGTCTTATTTCGTGACTACATAAATATAGAGAATGAATCCAATATTACTCGTTATAGTAATTATCAAATCAAATCCATATTACACTAAACTGACATGAAAAGCAGAAATTAATATTTTTTTCTTTAACAATAACACTTTGAAATCAAGTATCTACGATATTCAACATATTAATTGATCGAATAAAAAAATTTTCATTTAATCGTGATTAATCATTTTGATTTTTATAGTGATGATGATTATTCCTTTTTACGCTAATATCGAAATGTAAATTTTAGCTTTTAGTTGATCTTTATGCTAGTATAATTAATGACGACTTCGAAGTCTTTTTTTCTTGAAAATGATCAAAAGTATCACGTCTTGAACGATATAAGATTAGGAAGAAGTATTTTTATATATTATATTTCATCTTATATTTATAAAAATATCGTTTAACTCAGCAGGAAACTAATGTGATTTTAATCCATTGAAGTATGAACCGAAAATAATATATGCTATAAATTTGTGTACTATCTGCTACCGATAAATAACAATAAGCGTTCAATTATCATTGATGTTTCGTGAGAATAATATTTTCTTTTTCTTTACTGTTATTGTCCACATAATTCTATTAGTAAAATGAGCATCGATTTCACACTCCAATTTGAAATTTATTTAAACTTTTCCAAAATGTTCTTCCACATGTTCTCTATCGCTACAATTAGCATAAATGTTCTTCGGTCCTACATAAGACTTTCGAAAAAGCCATGATTTTTCGGATATTTCCCATTTTTCTCGAGTCAAAAACGTTTTTATCTAATAAAAAGATCATATTTCCAATCACCACAAAAAACTGCAGAATGTGGATGTGGTTATATTGACCCACATTCGCCCTTCAATAGACGCTACAACCATATTTAGTGTAGTTTTTCTTTATTTTTTTTCATTCATTTATCACTACATTTAACTATATAATATTTCAACTCAGGACAACATCGTAAGTGATTTGAAGAAAATTCTACTAATAAGGTACGAGATATCGATCGTTCGATGAATATAGCATATGCTTGTAACATTTATTTAATTGACTTTGCTACTTTTATCTCGAATAGTTATTTGTAACTCTGGTGCATTTTTTAAAGTTATAATTTATCTACAAAATAAATGTATTTTCAGTTGTGATAGACACATTCATTCAGAATTAACTTTTCTCCTTACAGAAAAATCATTATCGTTAACCTCTCTCAGTTAGTAATACACATTATATTTCATTAGTGTTAAGTCAGATATATGATGGAAGGCTTTTATTTTTTCAACATACTCAACGAAAGCACACACACACACGCGTCACTGCGTATAGAAGAAAGAGAATATTATAAAGC